GCCCAGAGGGCATCTCCTCTTTTATAGAGGGATTTGGATGTTGTATCTACTGGTTCCTCAGTGGTCGTTGAGACTGTGCTAACGGAAGCTATAAACATTCAACAAACAAAAGGCAACCACTTAAATGTTCTTCCGTCCCTACTGTAATGATCATGAACGTGCAGAGATATATGGATGCAGGGGGATGCATAAACCTGATGAATAACATATCACCGGCATTTAGAGTGATGCTGCAAAGATTTGTTTGTGCGTGTCAGACACGCATGCCTGCAAAGACTATACACGAAAAAACATGTGTACACATATTGTGATACAATTTGCACAAAATACTAATAGTTGTACATAGCAGTTAGCAGACAACTTCAAAAGTTTCCAGCTGGAAAACAAAGACGACAGTGTGCAGGGCTGCCCACCTGCAGCAATTAAAATGCCTCAGAAAACCCAAATTCATTTCAACAAATTAGCCACATTACTGGCCACTGTGTAATCGCTGATGGCAATTAATAAGAAATTAGTCACAATCAGCCCTATATTAACATCTCACCCAGGGGCCGCGGCTGGAAATTAATAACCAGAGATCCATCTCTCTTACTGTCTTTCTGGCTCTCTTTCACACTCACACACACACACACACACACACACACACACACACACACACACACACACACACACACACACACACACACACACACACACTTACACACACACCTTTGCCCACCTATACGGTTCCTGAATCTCCTCTAAGAGTGTTTTTTTTCTGTGTGGATCGTCTCATATGATTTGCAATCTGCTCATGTCAGCTAGCCAGCTTCCTCTTTACTGGGGTGTGAAAACCCCCTGAAAGAGATGAGTGTGTGTGTGTGTGTGCGTGTGTGTGTGTGTGTGTGTGTGTGTGTGTGTGTGTGTGTGTGCTTGTGCGTGCGTGTAAGTGAGTATATGTGTGTTTTCTCACCAGTGCATGTACAATTAACACATGTGCCTTGAAGTTTGTGGACATGTATTTAGGGATAAGCAAAAGATCTTAGTGATGTTTACTGCATGTGGTGTGTGTGTGTGTGTGTGTGTGTGTGTGTGTGTGTGTGTGTGTGTGTGTGTGTGTGTGTGTGTGTGTGTGTGTGTGTGTGTGTGTGTGTGTGTGTGTGTACTCTGACTACCACTTCTAGGGCTCACTGGCAGGCAGAAGTGAATAAGATGGATGGTGTTGATTCATACTCTGAATTCATTGCTCCCCCTGAATCCATGGAGAATAAATACATCCACAGAAATTATGAAGCAAGGGACCAAAATGAGTATCTCACATTTCATATTCCTCCTTCACTTTCTCTCTCTCTTTTGTATCTCTCTGGTTTGGGGACAGCTGCTGGCTACATGAAAACCATTCATCATTGTATCTTTACCACAAAATGATTGACAGAGAGGAAGAGGATGAGGAGCTTTATTGGCTACATTTTACAAGGTTGGACAAAGAGAAAAGTCAACCATCAGAGAAAACTTGAAAACTTCATCAAGCAATCACAAAAGGTAACCATGTTTTGGGATGGTGCAGATGCTTAGCTGGAAAAAATAAGCAGAAAAAAAGGGCAAGAAAGTGAAACAAGACATTTCCGCTTCAATAGACAAAACTGAACGGCCAGATAAAGTGATCAAAGAGTGTCTACCATTTCCCATGAACGTTCCACTGCAAAACCCCACCTCTTTCCTCTTCCTCTCTCTCTACACATTGCTGTCTCCATCTGTTAGCCCGTTGCACTCGTCCGTCCACTAACCCCCCCTCCTCATTTCCTCTCCTCCTCCTGCTCTTCTCTGGCCTTCCTACCCTCAGGGAGGTAAGGTGATCTCCCTGTGCTGGTGTAAGTGACTGGTATTAGTCTCCTTCTCTGGCTGTCTGTTTGATCCCGGCACTAATGACTCCACTGGGACTGGGGTCTGATAATGGGAAATCAATATAGAGAATAGCGCTCTGGAGTGGCCTCACTTAGCTCTC